GGCTCCTCACCAATAAACGGCTGTTTAAGGACATGCCTGCTGGCAGGAAGCCTGAGGCTGCCACCTTCCTCCTGGGTGGCGGGTGCAGCTTATGTCCCCCTCTCCCAAGTGTGGACAGAGTCCCACAGGCTTCTGGACTCAGGAGCTGCACTGGTGCCCGTGAGTGCAGTTCTGGGCCCAGACCAAAGGCCAAGGCATGCTGAAGGCCCTGTCCACCCCCAAGTCCTAGGATGCTCACTTCACACCTGCAGAGCCCCCTGGAGAGGCCGAGCTGCCCCAGGACCCACAGTGGGAGGGGAGGGCCAGCCTGCCTCAGGCTGGAAGAGGCTGGGGTCCCAGACAGCAAAGACCCAGACTGTAAATGCTTCCTCCTTCAAAGGCCACACTGCCAACACTGCTGTGACACAGGCCACAGAACTATACAAAACAGAAGCTGCGCTGACCCTTGGTCTAGATGCCCACCCCTCAGGAACCTTAGACTAAATGTTAGAAAATCAAGAATTTCCACTTAGTGTCTCTCTTGAAGTTTTGTCACGCATCAGCAGAGTGTGAGATCATGCTGATTCTAGATTCTACTTAACCTGCAGTTCCTTTTTTTGCGGTACTGGACAATCACCTCTGAGCGTCGAATGTAAAAATTCACACCAACGCCAGCCCTCCGTGATGGGCAGAAACGATGGGCCAAGGACACACACAAAAGCTGGGGCTCAGCTCCCCCACCTGGACCTGGTCCCTCCAGACTCAAGACACTGGGACGACTGTGTGCTGCCGGCTGGTAGGGGAGCCCCTGGGGACATGGCCTGGAAGGCAAGGAGGTTGCGGCAAGTCAGCTGACAGCTTTATTGCATTAGGGAAGGGGACAGATTGCTCAGGAGCTCTTGGTGGGGCGGGTCCGCTTCCTCTTCACCATCACAGGCTTCTGGCTGCGCAGGATGGCGCTGGCTCTGCGGATGGCAGCCTGGGAGGCGAGGCGGCCTCAGGTCACCCACCCCACCAGCTGTGCCCCCCACCCCCACATGCCTCCCAGATGGGCAACGTTCCCTCTTCCCCAGAGCGCAGGTCCAGCTCCAGTCACCAGAGGGCCGTCCTTCACAGCACTGGCCAGGCTCCCTGGGTCCCCACTGTGTAGTTGCCTCCACCACCTGGCATCAGCTCTCCAGCCCCCACTCACCATACGCAAATCCGGGCGGTACTTGTTCTTTCGGATCATGTGCCGGATGCTGCTGAGGGTGGCCCGGGCATTCTTATTGATGGTGGTCCGCACATAAGAAGTGGCCGGCTTTCGCTGGCCTGGTGGGGTGGGGAGATGAGGAGCCCCAGGGGTCAGACGGTCTGGACCTTTGGTGCCCACCCCCGGGGTGAGGGCACAATCCCACCCAGAGAACCTGAGTGCCCTGACTATGTGAGCCTGGGAGGCAGCCCCATCTCCAGGCATCAACTTACAGGACAATGACGAGGACGACCACAGGCCAGGCCCTGCACCTGTATAGGCGTCTCCTCCCCAGCCTCCCCTCCTCCCCTGAGACACAACACTGTTCATCTCACTGGACAGAAGTGGAAGCAGATGCAAAAGGACCAAGACTCCCTTGCCCAAGGTCCCATGCACAGTTGTGTGACTCCAAGGAGAGCCTGGGCGAGGTGGGCACTTGGCACCATGCTGACCAGGTGGCGAGCGCTCCCCAGAAAGCAGCTCTGGCTCCTCTCCCTTCCGCACCCTCCTGGGCCCTAGCTACCCGCTCAGCAACAAGTGTCTAAAACGCCAAGCTGTGAGGCTGGGATGATGTGGAGCCACAGGAGGACCAGGGTAAGAAGAGTCCTGGGGAAAACACCTGCCCATCACCTGTGCACAGGTAGAGTTGGACTCCCCTGCCCAGGATAAAAAGGAAAACACCTCCTTTATTGTGCCAAAGAGCTGATGGGGTCCCGGCTAGGATCCTGTGCTCCTGGGTTTCCCCCCAGATGCCAAGGTCCCTGTACCATACTGGGGATTTGATGTTAGCCTTCTGACCCCAGAGGAGAGCCCATGTTACCTCCTCAGGTCAACCAGATTCCTGACAGCCGAGGAAAAGCCACCCAACAATCCAAGAAGGGAAAGCAAAGTTTTTGGGACCCAGCGCACCAGACAGGGTTCTCAAGAGTGTGGGAACCTGAGAAGCCCAAAAGCATAAACAACTGGTTGCTCCCGGGTCTGTGCTTCTGGGAAGGGAGGTTAACCGCCTTCCTCCTGAGAACAGAAGGCAGCAGATGTGGCTGCTGCTGTCAGTGAACAGGACACAGGGCTCAGAACCCAAAGAGAAACCGGTCCTAATCAGGGATCCGGGAAAAAGCTCATTCCTATCTGTTAAAACCCACTGCCCATCTACAAACAAAAGTGTTGCGGGTGTGGTACCATGACTCAGCTATTACCAAGACACACCCCTGCCTCCCCTTGACCTCCTCTAAGAGTCTAAAAGAGCCTGTCTGTGCCTGAGACACAGGGAAGTGGGATGCTGAGCGCCCCATTCTGAGTCCTTGAAGCCAGAATGGGAGCCAAACTACTGCTTCAGACCCAAGCTGTCACTTCCTATGCGGGAGCCAGAAGGCGGCTCCCCATCTGTTTACCTGAATTTTCCCACCGGTGGAGACAGACTTCCACCTGCTTCAAGGATTTATTCTGAAAACATCATCAAACCGTGCAACCCTGTAATTTAACCCTGACAAGCACCCAGCGGACTTCAGGTGCTTTTAATTTCTCCACTTTTTAGATGATAAGCTCACATACCTGGTGGGCTAGCTTGGAGAGGAACCAGCCCCCCAGGTAAACGTCCTGACCCCAGGAATCCTCCATTCAATAGCAGAATCACTCCCGCGGCCCGACAGTAAAAAACTACAGCCCCGTGCCCCGGATGGGGGTCTGTTGCCTGGGCCCAACCAGGTCAAATGCTCACCGGATCTCCGCTTCATGACCACCACGACCCCTTTGCCGTCCGCCGCCGGCTCCACGCCCACAGTCTTGCGGTGAATGAGCCCGTTGTAGCGAAAAGAGTTGCGGGCCTTCAGGTTATTGGGTTCCTGGGAAGAAGGACGCAACGCGGTCGTGAAGAGGAAGGGGGCACAACAATCGTAAAGGTCCCTCCCTCCGACCCAGCCGTCGGGGCCCCGCTTACGGTGCTGTACGTCTGCTTATTCCTCTTGATCAAGAAGCTGGAGCAGTTCCGCACGACCATCCACTGCAGATGCGCGGACATGGCGGCAGCTGCGGAGAAAGGGGCGCGGGAAAACGTCAGGGGCGCAGCAGGCCGACGCCGGACAACAGAGGAAGGCTGCATTTGGGGACCTGGCGAATGGGAGCACCGCGTGGGCCGAGGGCGCCTAGAAATTTGCCAGGCGGGGCTGGGCGGCCTAAGGTGGCGGCGCTAACCTGGCCGGCCGAGACTAACTGCGGGGGACGAGAGATGAGAATCCACAGCGACCTAAGGCGGCAGGGCCGGGGTGAAGCCAAGAGCGCGAGAGGCGCAGTGAGAGAGGCAGGCAGGGGCACAGACACCCGATGGCAGGCGCGAGAGGCGGTCACGCGGACGCAACTCACCTCCTCTCGTGGCGGCAGCCGGATACGGAAAGAGGCAGGCGGGGGGCGGGGCAACGCCTTTAATAGCAACACGCATTTCCGCTTCCTCTCAGGGTACGCGCGCGCCGTCGCCTGTCCCCGCCTCCTTCCGCCCGCCTCCGAGGCAGCTCGTTCGGCTATTTCCTCCAGTCAGTCTCAAACCGTTCGGGGACTTTCGGAACTCTTCGGCTGCGGACCCGAGGGCGTGTTCTCGACGCGGAGTTGGTACAGTTCCGAGGGCCCTTCGTGTGTTTTCGGAACTCCACGGCTGGATTTCCGAGTGTGTCCCTTTCCAGAAGTCCCAAGTCCCCTTCCTCAACGGCTTCTCTCCAATATTGCCACTCAGAGCTTGGCACAGGATGGGTGCTCAATAAACATTTGTTTTATGAATGAACTTGTTAGTGCGTGAACTATTTAAACCACACAGGGACTTCGGGTGCTTCCAGGTTCTTCGTAGACCCTCGGCTATTCCCGACGAAGGCAGCAGGCTCGGTCGGACATTTTCGGAACTCTCCTGCAACACTCTTCCGAAGGGCGGCCGGCTTTCCTCTTATTGGCCCATGCCCGCTTCGAATCTCTTCGGAAACACTCGGTCTCCATTCGGCCACGTTCGGAAACCTTCGGCTAACCCCGGGAGCTCCCTCTCAATTCGCCCTCCCCAGTGTCCTCTTAAGCTCCTGCACTATTTCGAGTCTAGAGAGAAGCCGGGCGGACCCTTCTCGCAGACTGCCACCCATTTCCTCTAAGGGCGAGGTGTGTTTGGAGGAAAAGAGATTTGCCTGGGAAAGGTCTTGGTTTCTTTAGGGCCTGCATACCTGTTCGCCCAGCTTATTTCCTGTGCCTCGCGGATTCCGGCCCTATTCTCCCCCTCCATTCCGCCCTATGTCACACCCGTTATACTTTAGGGAAGTTTATTTTCTGTTGTCAGGGTCATCTTTAAGGGGCAGGAGCCTCGCCTGATATACCTCTGAGTCCTCAGCCTCACCAGCACAGGGCCTGGAGAGACTCCAAGTGAACAGAAGGAATGACGGTGCTTTATGTCACCTCCATTAGGGCACCTTGAGTTGTGATTACGTCCAGAAACTCCTTGAGGGCAGGGGCCTTGTCTGGCCCATCTCTGTGCCCTTGGACTTCGCCGTAACGAGTCCTGACAGTCCAGAGGCCCCAGGAGAAATCTGAGCAAACAGGAATGTTGGGGTTTGCCCTGCTGCCTCTATTAGAGCCCCCCGGATTTTCACCATGCGCTGCTTCAGGCTCCTTACGATGCAGGGGCCCTGGGCCGCACTAATCTGTGCGCCCAGCTGCCCCCAGCCTCGGCTTCTGAGGGCCAGGGCGCCCTCGGGCCGGGCCCGTCCGCACCCAGCCCAGCTCAGGTGACCAAGCGGGTGCCGGGCACACCTGGCGCAGTCCCCTGACCCCGCCCCGGACCGGGCCGCACCCGGAACGCGGAACGCTCCCCGTCGGAGCCAGCCGCTGCGGTGGAGCAGGTCCATGGCGGCGGTGTCAGCGGTGTGCGCCTCGCAGGGGCCCCCGCCCGGCGCACCGTCCCCGCCGGCGGGCGCGCCTGTGCCCGCGTCCGGCCTGGGCCGCTGCCGGTTGGCGCTGCTGCTGGCCGTGGCGATGGACGTGGCGGGCATGGCGGCGCTGCTGACCGGCGTGTTCGCGCAGTTGCAGGTGCGCGGCCGCGACTTCGGCGACCTGCTCATCTACTCGGGCGCGTTGCTCGTCTTCCTAAGCCTGCTCGGCTGGATCCTCTGGTACACCGGCAACATCGAGATCTCGCGCCAGGAGCTTGAGCGCGACTACGGCCTGCGGCCCTCGGCGCTCGCCCGCCTCGCGCGAAAGCTCTCCCGCCGCTGGTCGGCGCCGGCTTCCTCCTCCGCCGGCCGGCGCGCCGCGCCCAGCTCCTGGGGAGCGCGCCCCGCCGCCCGCACGCCCCAGCCGCCCGCCACCGGCTCCCGCCGCGTGCGCCTGCAGCTCGCCGCGCTCGAGGCCGGGCCTGGGGCGGCGTGTGCGAGCAAAGAGTGAGCCCGAGGTGAGGGGCGGGGAGGCGGGGAGCGGGGCGGGGCAGAGGGGAGAGGTGGAGGGACCGAGGGACAGGGGGAAGATGGAGGGACAGCGGGAGAGATTGAAGGACAGTGGGAGAGATGAAGAGACAGACGGAGAGCTGGAGAGGTAGTGCGAGGGAGGGAGGGAGGGAGGGAAGGACAGAGGGGAGAGATGGAGAGACATCAAGGAGAGATGGAAATGGAGAGGGAAAGGTGCAGAGACAGAGACAATGGGGAGAGAGAGACAGGTAGAGGTCAAGATTGGAAGGCAGAGAAGCAAAGACTAGCAGAGACCCAGAGGATGAAGACCTAGAGACAGTTGGCATGGGTGCAGACTGAGGAGAGACAAATGAGACCCTGCCCTCAGACGTGCGTGAGGGCTGGAGAGTCACCTTTAGCTCCACCAACACTTGGAGATTATTCGTCCCTGTGCTCCAGTCCTCAGGTGCACCGAGTCCTACTTCCCATTTAATCCTCCAAGTGTAACAGAGTCTCTGAGGTCTGGAGCACAGGGAGGACACTGAGGCCCCAAAAGGTGCCACCTCTTGCCAAAGGGGAGGTACCTGTTGCACTCTCCAGAGTGCACTCCTCCGCCAGAGACCTGCTGTGGCTCCCTGTTGCCCTCTGGTCAAATGCAAGCCACTCGCTATGTGTGTGTTTGCCACATCTCAGCCCCACATCTCCTGCCTTCTCTGCAGTTAGAATGACCTCCCTCAGTCCACGATGGCCAGGCTGTCTCACACCAACTGGCCTCTGTCCATGCCTTCACCTACACTGGGGGTGCCCTTGTTGTCTGCACTCCACTCAGAAAACTTACCAGGTGTCTTCAGATCCAACTGAACTTCCAGGTGTCTTCAGATCCAACTGAACTTCAGTGCCTTTCTCTGGGTCTTCACATTGTCTGAGTGACCCTTGTTATTGCTTGTATCACTGTGTGTTGTATGTGTGTGTGCTGATACTTCTCTCCCACCCAACAGGGAGCCCCTGGAGGGTAAGGCCTGGGTCCCTGGTGTCTTTGTTCTTAGCATGCCCCAGCAAAGAGTGAACTCAGGAAGTCAGAGGTTGAGGATCCGGTGGGTGGGTGGATGGATGGATGGATGGATTGGGTTGATGAATGAGTGGATGGATTGATTGACGGATGGATGGGTGGATGGAGTTGTGGGTGGAGAGGTGGATGGGTGAGTGGATAGAGGGATAAATGGATGAATTGCTTGATGGATAAATAGGTGGTGGATGGGTGGCTGTAGTTGGATTGATGGATGGATAGATGAGGGTTAGATGGTTGGATAAATTGGTTGATGGATGGGTGGGTGGATGGATGGATATGGTGGGATTGATGCTGGTAGATGGGTGAATGTGGGGTTGTATGGATGTTTGGACAGATGGGTAAGTAGATAGATGAGAGGATAGATAGGTTGGTGGGTGGGTGGATGGATAAGTGAAACAATGGATGGATGAGTGACTGAATCAGTTTCTCAAATGGAGGTTACATAAAAGAATTAAATCCTAATGCCCTAAGACATTCTTTATAGGTGATGAATTAACTTTCCTTCTATGCATCCAGAAGGACAGTAATATACCCTTTTTTTGTGAGAATTTTGAAAATAGTCCAATCATATGCTATGTTCTGTGGTTCAGATGAGGAAACAGTTTATGCATAGATGAAGCATGAGCTAACACAAAATTTGGCATACAATGCAGAAATAACCACCTGTGGTTAAAATTACCCTTGGGAACACTTTACCTTGCCCAGAAGTCTAACACAGCTGGGTAGACCTCTGCTGCTAGAACCACTTGTCAGAAACTGGCCAAGCTGACCGGCCTGTAGGCCCCTCTTAGAAGGAAAACGGGCCTGTCCAAACACAGGACTCCATAATGGTAGGGTGAGGTGATTCCAGCCCATGAGGGACAGAGAACTGGATTTTAACAGAGGGTCCTGTAGGTCCTGGCTCTGGTCACTTTTCTCTGCCTCTGGGACCAAAATTAGTTGAGAAGATGTGCAGAGCCAAACCCATCCTATGTCATTTCTCCCCCCATTTCATCTTCTCTGTCTCTGCCTGTCTTTCTCTTTGTCCCTGTGTCTGTTTGTCTTTTTTTATCTTTGTGCCTCTATCCTTCCCTCGACATATTTGTCTCCCCCTCTCTCTTTTTTGTGTGTAAGTCTCTCCGTCTCTGCCTTTCCTTGCCTCTCATTCCCCACCTTGTACCATTGAGTTCTGGTGAGTTAAAGGCACAGTCGCTGCCGCAAGTCGGGGCACGGAGTAATGAAGGAGCCAATGAGCAAGTGCGTCAGTCAATTGTGAGGGACTGAAGCGGGAGGAAAGGGCTCCTTCTCCTGGGTGGTGGTCCTGGGATGCAGGGATACACGCAGGGGTCCTGAGCAGCCACTAACCCCATCCTCCCTCCTACAGACGAACGCATGGCCACACCTGTCAGGACACGATGGAGATGTGCAGCTGCCCCATCGCCATCTGGCTGCCAGGATGCCTACCTGTCCTCCATCTATCCTCCCCTGGATAAAGGGCTCTGCCTCACTGTGCTTCATATCTGTCTGGAGAGGGACGGCACTGGGGCAGGGGTGAGGGAGGGGCTGCCCAAGCCCTTGGGGACCTAGGAGCCTAGCTTCACGCTGTTGCCTCATGGAGGGGGACAGGAGTGGGGGGCAAGGATCTCAAGCCCAGACCCACCCCCTGAGTCCAGACCTCCCTCAGCCCAGGTTCCTCTGTTAGTTTGAGGTCCCCAGAGATGCAGACAGAGGGATGAAGACTTGCAAGATATTTGTTGGGGACATACTTATGGAGGGTAGGTTGGAGTAGCTCTGTTACCTGAGAAAGGAGGGGCGGAGGAAAGAGGACTGAGCACGATGAGTCTTCAACTGTAATGAAGTTCCAGGAAAATTTCCGTGCCACCACTAGGGAGTCTGAGAGCTATAGTCGTCCGGCGTTCGTGGGAAGCAAGGCAAATGCCTGCTGGCCCAAGGGCGGCAGGATCCCAAAGGCAGGCAGCAGAGGCTGTCAGGCAGCGGCAGAAGGACAGCTGAGGGGCACGGTGGTCCATGTCCCCCCAGCCCAGCTGCAGTCCCAGCCCAGGCCACCCACAACTCACCCCAAGCCCCTCAGTCCAGACCCCCCATAATCACAGCCCAGGACCTACACTCAACTCAGGACCCCCATCAGCTCAGGCCTCCCCCGATCAGCCCAAGTCCCTCTCAGCTCGGATCCTCCCCACTTACCCCTGGACCCCAGATGCCCGTCAGCTCACACCCTCCATGATCACAACCCAGGCACCCCCCAAAACACACACACACACACACACACTCTCTCTCCCTCTCTCTCTGCCTCTGGGTCTTATCCGTCCCCTGCTTCATGTTTCTCAGAAAAGAGACCATGCATCTCTGCTATATCTGTATTGAGGGATCCCTCCAGGGGTGCCCCTAATCTTCCTCCTCCCCTGCTTCCGTTTATTCGCCCCCTTCCGTGCCCTCCTCATCAGTGCCCCCTGAGATGTCCAGGGCCCCCTCTGTGGGCATGCTGCCAATGGATGCCATCTTCTTTTCTCTCGGTGTCCGGTCCTTGGGTAACAGAGAGACGGTCTGGGACAGGTTGCACTTGCCCTTCATGAACCACGGCAGCCGCAGCATATCCCGTCGCTTGGCCCACCTGGCAGGGAGGGGACACCCTCAGCTGTGCTGTCCACCTGGCCCCGCCCGCCAGGGCAGGGGAGCCCCCCCGAGCCCCGACCCCACTCACCAGAACAGGCAGATGCTGGAGATCAGGAAGAGGAGGCCTCCGCACATCCAGCCGAGTGCCCACATGTGCTTCCTCTGCATGTTTTCTGCACAAAGCAGGGAGCCATGAGACTGAGGGGTCCCTGCCACCAGCCCCCCCCAGGGGCCCCGGCTCCCCGGCACACACCATCCGGCCGCTGGTGGTAGCAGACCCCGTTGCGGTAGCAGCATCGTAGACGCAGACAGAGATTCGGGTTCTCAATTGCCACCTGGCCCCCACAGCTCTCCCGTTCCCAGACATCTCCCTCACAGCCTGGGGACCAACGTGAGAAGCAGCTTCCTCACAGAGCCTGACCCCAAACCAGGCTCTGGGGCTGCCGGCCTAGTGCTTACTTCGTGCTGGACCCTGGACTCCAGGCCCCCAGCCCCTCCCCCCTCAGACCCAGGGGTCCAGGCCCCCAACTCCTCCTTCCTCAGACCCAGGGATCCGGGTCCCCAGGCCCTCCTCCCTCAGACCCAGGGGTCTGGGCCCCCAGCCCCTCCCCCCTCAGACCCAGGGGTCCAGGCCCCCAGCTCTTCCTTCCTCAGACCCAGGGATCCGGGTGCCCAGGCCCTCCTCCCTCAGACCCAGGGATCCAGCCCCCAGACCCCTCCTCCCTCAGACCCAGGGGTCCGGGCCCCCAGCCCCTCCTTCCTCAGACCCAGGGGTCCAGGCCCCCAGCCCCTCCCCCCTCAAACCCAGGGGTCCAGGCCCCCAGCCCCTCCTCCCTCAGACCCCGGGGTCTGGGTCCCCAGCCCCTCCTCACTCAGACCCAGGGGTCCGGGTCCCCAGCCCCTCCTCCCTCAGACCCAGGAGCCAGGCCCCCAGGCCCTCCTCCCTCAGACCAGGGGTCCAGACCCCAGCCCCTCCTCCCTTTAGACCCAAGAGTCTAGTCTGGGCTCCTTATCCCCAGGGGACCCAGGGTTTCCTCCACTGCTCACTCCATGGATAGAAGAATCCCTGGATTCCATTCCCATCTGTGAAAGAAAAGAGCGGTGTTGGGAGGCTGTATGGAGGGTGAGGAGGGCCTCTGCTCAGCTCTCTGACCCTCTCATCAGCCCCCTCACCTACTGAGCCCTGCATTAGCAGGAAGAGGCCCAAAGCAGGGATCCCAGACCCCACCATGTCGCCTCCCCAGACTCCTGGGGCCTCTGTGGGGAGAGACCTTGAAGGCCATCACCCCAGCAACCGGCTCGCCCCACCCGCCTGCCCGGCTGGCCCCCAAAATTCTAAGTTCTATTTCTAGGGAGCCCCCTTAGCAATTGGGAAGAAAGAAGGGGGGGTCACACTGGCCTGGTCACACCTGGTTGCTAGGGAGTTGCTTCCTTAGCAACCAGGTGGAAGGGGCCTTGTGGGTGGGATGGGGCCCTGGCATTAGAAGAGCCTCCTTAGCAACCTGCGTAGAAAGCAGGTGGGAGTCTAAGACGTCTCCTCCCAGCCAACCAGGGGACCCAAGGAGTGGGCACCCCGAGACCTTCTTGCCAGGGAATCCCTCTGCTTAGTAAACATTCCTGAAAGGCAGCTCCAGGTGACCCAAAGGTTCCTGAGACCTGGTTGCCAGGGAGTCTTCACCCTAGCAACCAGGGGCAGGGGGCCTGAGGCCCAGAAGACCTCACTGAGCCCCATTGTTAGGGAGGCCCCCTAGCAACCAGGAGACCTAAGAGGGTGATGAGAAAATGGGGGTCAGGCCATAGGCCAGAGCTCTTGCTCCAGAGTCCCCTGGTCCCAAAGGCATCCAGGCCTCCTGATGGGGAGGGCCAGGATCCGAGAGGTCTGAGGCCCCAGGTGGTGGAGAGGGGACTCATGGGAAGGGAGCCCCTTCTAGCTCGGTCTGTTTCCCCCTCTGCAAACAGGGAAATGGGTCCGACTGGGATCCCCAAGCTTCTGGTTTGGTCCACCCCAGTGGTGGGGGAGGAGGTCACCTTGGGGGCTGGGGTGGGAACATGATCCCTCACTCTCCCCTGAACCTCCACTCAGCTTTCCAGCCAGTGAGGAGGGGACTCAGCTCTCCTGGGGCGGTGTGTCTTTGTGCCCAGATCCTGAGTCTGAGGGAAGAGGGGCTGGGGGTCTGGACACTTGGATCAGAGGGAAGAGAGCATTTGGGGTCAGGACTCCCAGGTCTGAGGGAGGAGGGGCTGGGCATCTGGACCCCGGGGTCTGAGGGAGGAGGGGGAAGGGGACTAGGTCTGAGGGCAGCTGTCCAGGAGTCCAGACCCCATTTCTCAAGAAGCCCTTTGAGGCTGCCTCCCGTCCTACCCATCTCCCGTAAACATCCTGGTGGGTGCTGAGTGGGCCCAGGGTTGCCTTCGTCAGAGATGACACAGGTCCGAGGGGCTCGGCAGGGGGCCGGGGGTGGGGGTCAGAGGGGTTGTGGGGCTGAGGCCGGGCAGCTGCTGACCGTTTCCTGTGTCAACATCATCTGGACCCACTTCCCAATTCCCGGGATTCCTCAGGGATCAAGGAGGGGGTGGGGGGGCGGGGCCGCAGGGCCCTGGACCGCGGCTTGGGGCTGGGGGGGCCGCCGTCACGGCCCTCACCACTAATGACAGGTTTGGGCCGCCTCTGCGGCCCGCCTGCCCCGTCACCCCCCAGGGGCCAGACAGGACCCCCCAGGGACAGACAGACGGACACACACAGACTCGGACCTGCTGACCTCACACCAGCCAGCTCCACCTCACCCAGGGGCCAGCACATGAGCAAGGACCCCCTGGGGTCCCCCGTCATATCCCAGTGGCATCTCCCCCCACGGCTGTCACCCCTCAGAGTCTCAGCTCCGTGTCACCCCCAGTCTTTGTCTCTGAACCCCTGAGCTTGTCTCTGCGTCTGTGTGGGTCACAATTTTTTTTTTTTTTTGCATCTCTGTCTCTCACTCTGGCCTCTGTGCTCCTGTCTCTTTCTGTTTGTCACAGTCATCTCCTGTCATTGTTTGTGAGTCTCCTACCTGCCTCTCCATCTCTTTACTTGTGTCTCTGTCTTTGTCTCTCCTTCTTGCTCTCCTTTCCACAGAAGTAGTCTGAGTGTCCCCAACCCTGGGGAAGACCCAGGAGTCCTGAGTAACCCCCACCCTCCTGTCCTGCACCCACCGGCCTCCTGCTGCCACAGTGAGGAAAGATGACCCCGCATCCCCGGGGTGAGAGGGCCGAAGCAGGCCGAGGGGACTGTCACTAGTCGGGGACTGATGACCCATGCCTAGACCCCTGACCTTCCCCAACAGAGCACTCCCCAAATTGCAGAATGGCCACAAGTTTTCTCTACCTTTCTTGAAACAAGGGTTTCGGACCTGGACACCTGCCACTTGGCTCTGAGGGAGGAGGGGGCTGAGAGCTGGACCCCTGGATCTGAGGAAGTAGGCGGCTGGGGGTCTGGACTCCTGAGTCTGAGGGAGGAGGGGCTGGGCTCTTGGACTCCTAGGTTAAAGCAATGGGGTTGGGGCCGGCAGCCCCAGTTCCCCCGGAGGTGGAAGGGGCTGCCATCACCAGATCCCTACTGTGGCTCTCAGGCTGGCCCCAGGCTCAGTCCCCCATCCCCTCAGGCCAGTCCATCTCCCAGACTGGTGGCCTGAGTCACCTTGGCTGGCCCCACCGGTCTTGGGGGGGGGCTACGTCAGTTCTCCCCTCACTGACGCAGCCTTGGGCCCCCCCACGCTGACTCAGCCGGAAACAGGCCCCCTGAGGGGCGGAGACCCAGTGGTCAGAGGCCTGGGTCCCAGCATGAGTAGGGGCTGGGGAGGGCCCCTGGGGGGCCCTGGCAGGGGTGGCCATGACAGAGAGGCAGAGGGAGCTCTTACCTGAGGCGATGAGGTCATGTCCCACCATGGGGGGGCTGTGACCTCACCTCCCTGGGGACCTGAGCAGTTGCCCCCCCAAGTGGTGGGGGATGGGAGGGGGAGGACTTCAGCCAGCATTCATCCTCAGAGCCCCCCTGCCAGCTCAGCAGTCTCAGGGGCGGGGAGGGGGAGGGGTGTCTGCGGGGAGACCTTTGGAAGTCCTTGTCACCTTCTGTCTTCTCACTACCCTCCACCCTTCTCTGCCACCCTTATCCTGGGGGTTGGGGTGCTCCTGGGGACTTGGGTTCCTGTCATGGTCCCTCACTCTTCTGCCGTGAATCCCCGGGGCCACCTCTGCTCCATGTGCCTGGTACTCCCTGTGTGCGTCTGTGTTGGCACCACCGTCCCCCGGAGTCTGTGTCTCCCACCCCTGCTCCCACCCCTCTCCGCATCTCCACCTCTCCACCTCTCCGCGTGGTGTCCTCCCTGCCATGTCCTGGTCTCCAGCTCCCCCCACCCATCCCAGCTGCTCTCTCCGTGTCTCACCATCTCCATCTCTCCCAGGGGCTCCCTCTTTTCCTCCGTCTCCCTGGATATGTTAATAAAAATCAACGGTGAGAACAGCAATAGTTCGCATTTACTGAGAGCTGGTTGTGTGCTTTACAGGCGTGAACTCACTGTATCCTCACACAGGCTTTTGGGAGGGGGTCGTGCCCGGGGTATCCCTATTTCACAGATGGAGAAACCAAGGCACAGAGAGGTGAAGCCATGTGCCCGAGGTCTCACCTCTACTGGGTGCCTCGATGCCTCTTTCTCTTGGTCCCTGTCTCTCTGCCTCTGGTCCTCTCTCAACATGTTCCAACGTGTCTCTTGGAGAAAGGCCCCCCCTCTCTCAGTCCCCACTGCTGAGTCCTCGTCATCTCAGCACCGGCATCTCTCAGAGGATCTCTGCCCCTTGGGACTTCTCCATCTCTGTCACCCTGCCTTGTGTATCTCTTTTCTGCCGCCTGCCTCCCCTCTTTCTGGCATGCCTGTCTCTGTCCCTTTTCCTTTTGGGGGTCTCTCTGGGTCTCTCCAGACGTCTCCTGCTGTTTTCATCGTGCCCCTCAAACCTCACTTTGCTCTCCTGTTTCTCTGCCTCTGCAGCGTGTCTCCTTGGCTGTCTCCATCTCTGCACCTCAGACTCTCCACCTCTGTCCCATGTCCCCATTTCTCTGTGTGTCTCTACCTCCTTGCCTGGGTCTCGGCCTCTCCATCTCTCTCTGTCCCTGGGAGTCTCTCTCTGTCTCACCTCCAACCCCCCAGGCCTGCGTCTTGTGGTCCCGTTGCCACCTCTACCCCATCCGCATCACCCCCTGCCTCTCCATCTCTCTGCCTGTCCTGGTCCAGCCGGACCCCCACCCTGCAGCCAGGCCCCAGCTCTTGAGCTGCGCGTGTCTGTCCCGGCGGCGGCGGCGGCGGCGGCGGCGGCCGGCCGAGGAGGTGGAGGGAGGGGACGCCAATGACCTCACCAGCCCCTCTCCGACCACCCCCCCTTTCCCTTTTCAACTTTTCCAACTTTTCCTTCCGTGCCCTCCTCCGAGCGCGGCGGCGTGAGCCCTGCGAGGCAGCCGGCTCCGTCGGAATGGAAAAGGCAGGCAGGGAGGGTGAGTCAGGATGTGTCAGGCCGCCCTCCCCTGCCGCCTGCCCCCCGCCCGCCCGCCCCGGCCCCCTATATAACCCCCCAGGCGCACACACTCCCTCACTGCCGCGGCCCTCGCTGCTCACACGCACATGCCTCCCCTCCCCAGGCCGAGGCCCAGCTGACCCCCAGGGCTCCCACGGCAGCGGACAGGGAAGGGTTAAAGGCCCCCAGCCCCCTGCCCCCTGCCCTGGGGAACCCCTGCCCTGTGGGGACATGAACAGTAAGTTGGTTCAAGCTCCTGGAGGGGGGACAGGGAGGAAGGAGGGAGGGACCGTCGGCGGGAAGGGTGGGGAGCAGACAGACAGCGGAATCGGACCGAGAGACGGAGGAGAGCGAGGGAGCAATGGGGAGGCGGAGACGGAGCGAGCGGGAAGGAGATTCAGAGAAAGCAGGAGGCCTAGAGAAGGGACGGGCAGAGCGAGACATGAAAGGACGGATCAGAGACGCGGAGACACCGGCAGGGCAGCGCGAGGCAGAGAGAAATGGAGACTCACAGACAGAGACAGACGAAGGCCAGGGGGTGATCCCAAAGGGCCCGGGACCCCCAGGGAGTCAGCGGGGACCGAGAGACGCAGACTCCCAGGGACCTCAACAGAGAGGCTCCGGGAGGGAAACTGAGGCAGAGAGGCCAAGGAGGTGAGAGCAAGCCCAGAACACCGACCCCAGCTACGGGGAGGAAAGACAGAGGGAGACACAGGGGTGCAGACAGAAACAGGAGAGCCAGACGGATGCGGACGGACGGGCGGACAGACCGCGGCCTGGGAGGGCCCAGGGGGCGGGCTGGGGGTGTGCTGCGGGAGCGAGGCGGCCCGGGGGTCGCTGATTGGCTGGCGGGCGGGGTGGGCGGGGCCGCTGGGGGATGGGCGGCCGCGGAGGGAGCGGGCCGGAGCCCCCGCGCTGAGCACCGCCGGGTCCCTCTCTCCCCGCCGTGAGCCCGGCGCGCCCGCGCCTCTGCCTCTCTCCGCCCAGGTGTGCTGTGGGGTATCCCCGGCGCTGCGGCCCGGCCTTCCGCGGTCCACTCTGGTGGCGCCTACGCGGGGGTCTCTCGGGGAGGGGTCAAGGCACCCGGACCTCTGTCCAGGTCTCCTTCCCCTGCTCTCAGTCCGGTTCGGGCTCCTGAGCCTCGGGAGGGGGCAGGTTCTGGCCTGTGTCTCCCCCCTCCTGCCCCGCCCCGGGGCCCAGATTCCGGCGTCCGGGGGCGGACGGGAGACGCCCGGCCCGTCTACCCGCCCCGGGGCGCGTCTGCTCCGACGGGCGGGGCGACCAGAGCCAGAGAGGGAGAGGGAAACCCGCCCAGGCCCTGCGACGTGCCCTGGGCGCTCCGCCCTGGGACTCAGGACCCCCACCCCAGCCCCTCCTCCCTCAGACCCCCCGGTCGGACCTGAGCCTCCTTTCTGTCCTCTCCCTCCCTCAGGTGTTTGCTGCCTGGTCCTGGTCGCGCTGAGCCTGTGGCCAGGTAGAGCTGCTGCCCCGGGGCCACCTCCTGGCCCCTCACGGGCCTCCCCAGACCCTCGGGCTGAGCTGGACAGCGCCGTCCTCCTGACCCGCTCTCTCCTGGCGGACACTCGGCAGCTGGCCGCACAGCTGGTAGGAGAGCCTGGAGGGGATGGGCTGGGGCCAAGACCGAGAACGGGGAGGGCGTCTGGGCTACCACGGTGGCAGAGACGGGGGAGAAAGGAGTCCGGGGCTCGTGGTGGGGGATGAAGCGACCCCCGGAGCTGGGCAGGGTCCCTCTCACGGCTTCTTTCCCCCCAAGAGAGACAAATTCCCAGCTGACGGAGACCACAACCTGGATTCCCTCCCCACCTTGGCCATGAGTGCGGGGGCGCTGGGAGCCCTGCAGGTAAGGGCAGGGGATGGGTCAAAGGTGGGAGTTGGGCGGTGAAGGGGGTGCAGGGGGTTAGGGGCTGGAGTGGGCAGGTGCCAGGTGCTCCTTGACGCCACCCCCCACTCCGCCCGTCCCCCAGCTCCCGGGAGTGCTGACACGGCTGCGGGCAGACCTGTTCTCCTACCTGAGGCATGTGCAGTGGCTGCGCCGGGCAGGAGGCCCTTCCCTGCGGACCCTGGAGCCCGATCTAGGCGCCCTGCAGGCCCGGTTGGACCGGCTGCTGCGCCGGCTGCAGCTCCTGGTACGATCACCTGGCTCTGAGACCCCAGGACCCCAGACCCCAGGCCTACTCCGAGACCCTCACCCTGTGTCCCTGAGACCCCAGACTCCAAAATCCTGCCTGGAAACTCTAAACTCTCACCCTGAGACTCGGAAACCCCATGGTCTTGTGACTCCAAGACTCCCATCCTGAAGCCCTGAGGTTTGAGAATCCAAACCCTCACCCCAAGACCTGGAGACCCCGGTCCCAAAACAGGAGGAATCCAGACCCCAAGCCCAGGATATTCTGAGCCTCCAGAGCCTGAGACCCACCCATATCCTGGCCCCGAGATCCTGACACATCAAGACCCCAGACCCTCAGATGATGCACCGTGACTTAAAGCCAGACTGCAGACCCTGGCTCTGCAGACCTCAGATCTCAAGGACTTGGACCCTGAGATCTCAGACTAGAAGACCCCAGACCCTGAGCCCTGGGTCCCCAAGAGCTCAGATCTAGGTTGTGAGCCCTTAAGACCCCAAGACCCTGACTTTTAAAACCCCAGACTCAAGACCCTGAGATTGTAAGACTTCAGACCCCGGTTCCTGGTCCTGGTGACCCCAAAGACCCTGGAACTCAAATTCCAACTCTCAGCTCTGAGACCCCAGACTTGAGACCCCACCTCTCACACATGAGTCCCTGAGCTTGATCCTACAATGAGACCCCACATCTAAGACCTCGGCCCCAGGATCCTGGCCCTGCTGCTACAGACCTCACCTCCAGCCCTCTGAACTTGGCCCTAGAACCCCAGCCTTAAGACCCCCACCTTTTGGCCCCAGCCTCAATTTTCTGAACCCAACGTCCTGAAGAACTTCCAACCCAGACACCCCACCTCACAGGCCAGAGACACAGTGGAAATATGCAAGCTGGACCTCCCCAACCCTGATTCAGTACAGGCTCCAAACTCCTGCTTCCCCGGACCCTAACTGCACCCCTGGCCTGACGTTAACCCTCTGTCCTCTCCTGACAGATGTCCCGCCTGGCCCTGCCCCAGGCGCCCCCAGACCCACCGGCACCTGCCCTGGCTCCCCCGGCCTCACCCTGGGGAGGCGTCCGGGCGGCCCATGCCATCCTTGGGGGGCTGCACCTGACGCTCGACTGGGCTGTGCGGGGCTTGCTACTGCTGAAGACTCGGCTGTGACCCGCCACGCGCCACCGAGAGCCACCAGCGCCCTTCAAAGCCAGACCTTATTTATTTATTTATTTCGGGACTGGGGGCATGGCAGCCAGAGGACTCCGCCCTCACCATTGTCTCCCTCTAGTTAGAGACGATCCCTCCAGGAGACCTGGGCAGGGGGGCATCTGTGCCTTATTTATACTTATTTATTTAAGGGGGTGGGTGGGAGGCAGGTGGACTCGGGGGTCCCTGAGGAGGAGGGAACTGGGGTCCCGGATTCTTGGATCTCTAAGAAGTCTGGCCACAGTGTCTCCCTGACCCCCATCCCTCTCGGCTTGGGCAGGAGCATCTATTATTTATTAAACAATTACTTTCTGTGTTGGGGTGGGGAGGGAGGGGAAAAGGAGGCCTGGGTTTTTGTTCAAAAATGTGAGAACCTTTGTGAGATAGAGAAGAGGGAATTAAATTTGTCATACACATCCACTTAGAGGTGATTTCTCTGGGGGCCAGGGGCTGGATGCTGGGGTCCTTGGGGGGCCCTCCGTGGACAGGGAAGTAGAGGAACCATCAGTCCCCCAGAGACTGTGAGTTCTTAGTCTCACAGTCAATAAATAAATATTTAATGGATAGTTACAGAAGGTTACCCTGTGACCAACAGTACTAGTACAGGACAAGGCTGCAGGCTCAAGGTTGTTCATTACGGCAGTGTTTACAACCGCAAATTGGAGACAACCTAGATGTCCAACAGTAGGCGATGGTCATATACATGACAGTGCATCCATGTGATGGAATACACCAGCCATGAAGAGGGATGCTACAGAGCCTGCTTTAGGCATAGAAGAAGCAGGCCACAAGGCTACAAACCACTGTGTGATCCCCATTTTGTATAGATACGTATAATCCATGGATTATTTAAAAATCCTAGAAGGAAATACACCAAAGTGTTGACTATGGCCACCTCAGGGTACAAGGTGGGGGTAGGATTGTGGGTGACTTTCGTTATTTGTGCTTCTCTGTATTTTCCAGAATTTTTACAATGACCATGTATTTTGCATGACACATGAAAAAATAATAACCACTATATTTAGAATGACAGAACATCAGCACCCCCCGCCCCGAAAGCCCTCAAAAGGCGACAGGAATGGCCATTCACTGTGCGCCTGCTCTGCGCCATGCCTTAAGTGTGGGGTTTTACTTACAGGATCCCGTGCATCCTCCAGTACCCCCCAATTTTACAGATGCGGGAAGCTGAGGCTCCTCAGGGATGCCTGTCGTTTAAGGCCACACAGCTAGGGAAAGGCAGAATATGATTTTGCCAAAGGTCGGGCTTATTCCAAACCTCATGTCCCTTTCTTTATAACCAATGTACAGCAACCGTTGCCACGGACACAAACAAGTTAGATTCAGGGAAACTGAGGCTCCTGGGGGTATAGACCTTACCCAGGGTGTAGAGATGGGTCAGTGGCAAGTTGGGACTGTAATTCAGGCCTCCCCTCTTAAGAGTCAGAAACCCTTTTGTTTAATTATTCACTTACCACATCCCAGACGGCCCCTCCCAGGGCCCCGGGTCGTCCTTAGTTTGGGTCTGGAGCAGGGGCTTCTGATTCACCCACCCCAGCCCTCAAGACTGCAGGACAGGTTCCTGGAGGGGAAGGGAGCTGAAGGCCCCTGGAGACTTCCCAGGAAGAGCTGCAGCTGTGTCCGATGAGGTCACAAAGCTCCTCCACGAAGGCTCCTCCCCCAGGCCAGGGCTGAGCACCCCTGCAGGGCCATGTCCAAGCCCTGGGGAAGCTCCACCCTCTGGAACCGCTGAAGTCCGAGGGTCTGGGGCCAGTGGGCTGGGGGGCTGGCACCCTGCCTCCGTGTCCCTGGTGACCGACACTTTCTGCAGCCATTATGAACCGGCTCTGGAACATCAGGCGTTGGGAGCCACTCCAGGGCCCCCTGAAGTGGGTCCCCACCCTGGGCGAGCTGCAGAAGACCCTCCAGAAGGGCGAGTACTTGCCCCTCCGCCCGCTGCCCATGTTCGAGAGTAACTTTGTCCAGGTCCCTGGCTCCCTGTGCCCTGGGGGCAGAGAGGGGCAGGAGGGAAGGGAGACCCCCTGGGCTGGGGGATTTGGGCCCAGGAGGGCACAAGGCAGCTGGGGGGCTCGGGGGTGGAGCTCTGTGTGGAGGTGCCAGAGGAGCATAAGAGAAAGGAGTGGTCCCAGCCCCTCTCCCTGGATCCCCAGGTGACCAGTCGAGGGGCCCCAGTGTATGTGCACCACAGAACCAACCAAGTGACCATGGGCGTGGCTGCCTCCCTGCCAGGCCTGGTGTTGCCAGACATCCTGCTGATGGCCCAGCCCCGCCGCGGGCAGGGAGCGCTCCAGCCTCGTCCTCACCAGGTGCCGCCATCCCCCCATCCCCTGCCACCTCGCCCCCATCTCCTGCTCTTCCGCTTCCATCTCCTGCCTCTGCTAGGATGATCCCGCTGGACCTGGCCCACCTCTACGTCCACGACCTGTCTGCCTGGCACCTGAAGCTGCGTCTGGTCATGGGCCGCCGCTATTACCTGGAGCTGGACGCCCCTGACAATGAGGTCAGCTTCCTGTTTGACTGCTGGATCCGCCTCATCAACCTGCTCCAGCAGCCCGCCACCTCCTGGGTCCCCAGGACCCTCCACACGCCCCCCACGGACCCGGGCCACGTGGCACCTCCAGGTGGGCCCTGACCCCACAGACCCCTGGGGGCAGCTATGGTTCTAGATTCGAGAGGGTGCCAAGACCAAAAGCCAGAAGTACAGGAGCCCCAGGAATGGAGCTGGGGCCAGGACCCCTGGCTCTGAAGGAGGAGGAGGCCTGCATTCCAGAGTCTGAGGGAGGAGGGACCAGGGGCTGAATACCTGGGTCTGAGGGGGGAGGGGCTGGGGGCCTGGACCCCTGGGTCTGAGGGGGGAGGGGCTGGGGACCTGGACTCCTGGGTCTGAGGGGGGAGGGCTGGGGGCCTGGACCCCTGGGTCTGAGGGGGGAGAGAACAGGGGCTGGATACCTGGGTCTGAGGGGGGAGGGGCTGGGGGCCTGGGTCTGGGCATCTCCACTGGCCTTGACCATCCTTCCCCTCCCCTCCATCTACCTACAGGGTTGCTCTGATTCTGAGGGGGCCACATGCCTGGCAGGTTTACTTGAGACCCCTTCACTCTGTATCTCAGAGGACAGCCCTGAAATGCCCTTGCTGGGCTCCTGTGATCACTTGCATATGTACCCGTGGTAACAGGACATGGACGACCTGATGGACCCGGAGGCCAGCACCTTGTCCACGTCCTCCCTCTGCCCAGCCGCCTACCCTCCTGACTTCCGCAGGTGCAACGAACAGGCCAGGCCTCTGGACTCCGTGCAGAGACTGTGGCCGCCGCCCTCCCAGAAGCCCCCAGCCATCCCTGCTGCCTCTTGTAAGGCTCCATTCATCCTTGACCAATCCCAGAAGTTCTTGGCTGTACCTGCTCCATCCCGGAAAGCGCCAGCTTTTCCTGCTGCTCCCCAGGAGGCCCCAGCCACACCTGCCCCATCTCAGAAGGCCACACATGTATTGGCTACTCCCCACAAGGCCCCAGCCATGCCTGCCCCATCTCAGAAGGCCGCGTATACACTTGCTGTTCCCCTGAAGGCTGTGTCCCCCCCTGCTCCAAACAGGAAATCTGTGTTCCTACCTACCCTGTCCCATAAGGCTCTGACCTTACCTACCCAATACCAAATGACAATGGACCCTGCCACCACGGGCGTGTTGCCTGCGGGAAGTCACAGAGGAGATGTGCTTGAGAAAAGCAAGCCTGAAGGGAAGCCAGAGCCGTGGTGTTGATGGGCACCCAGGAGACAAACATAGTAGAGGTGAGGACTCAGAAAACATCCCTGGAGCTGCCTTTCACCACCACCGAGAAGGAGTCGGAGGAAGTCCTGGTCAGCAGAGCCCAGGATGTCACCGCGGATGGCTTGAAGGGCAAGGGCAAGTTGGAGGACAAAGTCCGCAGGATGAAGGAGGAGATCTCTCTGAACATGCTGGGCTTCAAATCCAAGGAGGTGGGGCAGCAGCAGAAGTGGATCAAGACCCAGGAGCTGGCCATCGAGGAAGCCTCACAGGGGCAGACCAGGCCCTTCTCAGTGGAAGGGCTCACCCGTGCCAAGCTGATGATCACTGCCAGTTCCAAGGATCCCTCCTTGAGATCAGCTCTGTTCAATCTGCCCTCCTGGCTCTCAACCCAGCAGGGGTCTGCCATGCCAACTATGGACACGGTACCCCTCAGCACCACCAAGGTGTCCTTGCTGGAGGAGATGCCGGTGGTGGTCAGGGAGCAGCCACAGTTGGGGGCCTGGGCGACGGGGAACACGCATCCATGGGCGGAGGTGGAGGAGGTGCCCCGGGACCCAAAGGGGCCTTCCAAAGCGTCCCCTTTCCCCAAGTGTGCCACCAGCAGCCCCAAGGTGAATGCTGCCTCCCTGACTCCCATCTCTCTGCCCTCAGCGAGGTGGGAGGACATAACGGAGTCTCCTACCTCTCTGACCCCTGTCTCAAAGATGGAGGCCAGGGTCTCCCAACAGCCCAGGAGAGTATCTCAAGAGCCCAAGAGGGTGCCGAACCAGTGCCCCATGGCCACAGTGGGGTCGTCTTTGGAGGTTCTCTTGCCCACTCTCTTGGAAATTGAGAGTATGAAGGACATGGCCTCCAAGGTGGAGAAGATAGAGGAGGAAGTGGGCATCTTTGCTCCTTCGCCCAGGTATTTGGGGTGACAGCTAACGTGTATTGTCAACTCTGTTATCCACGAGGTAGAGAGGATCATTCCTTCTTTTTCCACTTTCCTTTGTGCTCTCAGTGTATAGTGAGTGTCAACTACGTGCCAGGCATCATTCTATGCACTATGGACATGGCATTGAGCAATTTGGGGAGGGGGTGCTCCTGGTATCTTTTGGGTAGAGTCCAGGGACGATGCTCAACATCCCACAATGTACGCGATGGTGCCCCACAGCAAAGTGTGATCCTCCACAAAATATCAGTAGTGCTGAAGCTGGGAACTCTGACAATAAAATCCACAGTAATTATATTGTACATTATTAGCTGATAGGGCTCCGGGCAAACAGCAGGGTAGGGAGGGCTACGAGTGGGGGTAGGCAGCTTCCAGTATTGGATTGGGTGGTCCGGGAGGGCCTCAGTGAGCTAGTGTCATTTGTGTAAAGATCTGAAGGAGGGGAGTGAGGAAGCCATGTGGACATCTGGGGAAATTCGTTCCCTTCAGAAGGAACAACCACTGCAAAGTCCCTGAGGCAGGAATGTGTACGATGTGCTGGACCAAGAGGGAGCTCCAGGACAGCCCAGAGTAGGAATTGTGGTCACAGGAGTCACGAGGGTGGCACCATCATGTGGGGCCATCTTAAGTACTTTGGGTTTGATGCTGAGCAAACTGGAGGTTTTGAGCAGAACAGCTGGAGTTGCTGTATGTTAGAAAGGACTCTCTCTGGCTGAAGTGTGGAGAAGGTAGAGGAGGAAGGGTGGATGCCGGGAGAAGAGTGGGGAGGCAGTTGCAATGACGCAGGAACAAGATGATGGTGGCTTGGACAAGAGGGGAAGGAATGGAGGTATTGAGAAGTGGTGGGGTTCCAGAGATACTTTGATGGTTGAGCCAACGGATCAGCTCGTGGATTGGGCATGTTGACATGACATTGAGGTTTGGGATCTGAGCCACTGGGAAGATGCAGCAGTCAAGGAGGCTGTGAGTGGAGTAGATGTCAGGGACAAGATCAGGAATTCCATTTTGGACATCTTGATTCTGAGATGTCAGGTGAGGATGCGGGGTACGCAGCTGGACACATGAGTCTGGAATGATTTGGGGAACCATCAGCAAATGGATGGTTGCTGCAAGCTATGAGACTGGAGGTCACCAGCGAGTGACTGCAGGTGGAGACAGAGGCCAAGGTGTTTAGGGAAAGGGGCACCATAGTCAGAGAGTGAACACTGAACAGCATCCTGAACACCAGGTGAAGAAAATGAGGAGCATCGTGAGGGCAGCCGTGTCAGATGCCACGAGCAGGTGAAGGAAGACAGGACGAGAGAGGACCTCTGGATGTAACAGCAAGGAGGTGACCTGGTGGGGACGAAGACCTGAGTGGGGCAGGCTTAAGGGAGCACAGGAAGTGGATCACCATGCTGCAACTCTTGAAAACATGTGGCTGAGCGAAAGGAGCTAGACACAAAAGGCCACACAGTGTACGATTTTCGTTTGCAAGAAATGTCCAGAAGAGGCAAATCCGAAGAGACACGAAGCAGATTGGTGGCTGCCAGAAGCTGCAAGGGATGGGAGGAACGGGAAGTGACTGCTTAATGGATTTGGGGGTTTCCTTTTGGGGTGATGAATATGTCCTGGGAGCTAGGTAGTGGTGGTGCTTGCACAACATTATGAATGTAATTTATGCCACTGAATTGTACACTTTAAAATTGTTACAATGGTAAATTTCATGGGATGTGTATTTTCCCACTACTTGTATACATACACATGTATGTAAAGAGGGGAATCGGAGAGAAGGAGTAGACCAGCTCTTTCCAAGTGATCTGCTGGAAGGGGAGGAGGGACCTGAAGAGGAAGCTGGTATAGGATGTGGGACAAAAGAGGGCTTCTTAAGAGGAAAGAGATATTAGTGCGTTTGGATGTTGGGGCAAAGGATCCAGAGTCAGACTTGATATTAAGGAGGCAGGAGGGAGAGAAACCTAGGAGGGACACTGGTGGAAACGTGGATTCCAGCTCAGGCTTGGCGGGCCCTGGAGCAGGACCACGCCCCCTGCCCCCCATCAGCATGTATTTATTGAGCAGTTACTACTCTCTCCCTGCCGATCCCGCAAAGCCCTCTCTGGCTTTCTCTCTGCAGCATGCACGGTTCCCAGCGGCCTCAATAGCGGGATGCGGGGGACTCAACCTCAGTCGCCGAAGTGTCCAGAGGAGCCCAGCGGGGCCAGGTAGCCCCTGAACCCTGCAGATCAGCCTTATACCTGGCGCTGGCGTCCAGGAGCCCGGACCCCACCCTGTCTCTTTCCTCTTCCTCACAGGCCCCTAGGTGTTGTGCACCTCTACTGTAAGAATCAGGGTCCTGGAAAGGCCGGGCGGGGATGCTCCTTCTCCGGTAGAGACCAGAGCTATCTATATCTTTATATATTGGGGGGGGCGGGGGGTGGGTCGAGGGAGAGCCCGCGTGGTGGCCCAGTTTCGCAGAGATTAAAAGCGTGAGCCTGAGACTCGGCAAGAGCAGCGCCCGGGTGCCTGTGTGTGAGCGCCGGCCCCAAGTGGGGGTGTCGGGCCGGAGGTGGGAGTCGCGGCGGGGGAGGCGGGTCCACACCGACCCCGCCCCGCGTCCCAACGCAACGGCGCAACGGCGTCCATTGGTTGGGGCTCCGGGGGTCCCAGCCAATGCGACCGGGAGGGGTCGTGTTTTTCCTGGGCTGGGACCCTCGAGACTCAGAAGCGAGGGTGTCCCCGGACGGCGCCACAAGCACAGCTGAGCCAGTGACCCGCTGACATCAGCCTGGTGAGGGCAGGACGGGTGGGAACGGGGGCTGGGTTTCGTGGTGGGGGTCAGGAGCTGAGTGCGGGTCGGAGCGAGGGGCGCCCCCTAGGCCCCACAGAACCCCATCCCTCCCCGCAGGAGACGCCGCCTTCGTGGATGTTGGGTATTGATTGCCCAAAGCCCTGAAAGGGGAGATAGCCAACGGCACCCTTCGACCCGCGCTTCCCCAAGCAGAACCAGACCCGTAACTGTTACCAGAACTTGCTGGGTAAAACCTCGCGGGCCAAGTTAGGGGGAGCGGGTGAGAGAAGGTGGGAGGCAGGAAGGGGCGCGCCCCACCTGAGGACGAGGAGAGGGTCCTGGACTCGCCGCGGGGGCGGAGACCGTTGGGGTGGGAGGTGGAGTGGACCACGGTCTGAAGGGGCGGGACCTACCTGGGAGGGGAGGGGCCTTGTATGATAGGGCGGGACCGATCAGTGGAAGGTCGGGGCCTATTCTGGAGGCGTGCGATCAAGTCGCGGAAGGGTGGGGTGACAGAATAGACGAGGCCTTGCGGGGAGGAGGCGGGTCTGCAGCTGGACCTTTCTGGAGGGCGCGGCCTTGGCGTGGAGGGGGCGGGGCGTGCTTGCGACCCCGCCCCCCCCCCCGCCCCCCCCCCCCCCCCCCCCCCCCCGCCCCACTCGGCAGACTACCATCCCTGCGTTAAGAGGATGAGGCGCCGAGGGAAAAGCACACAGCACTGCGAGTATTACTTTCGCGTGTTCCACGCGCTGTGCCCCATGAGCTGGGTGAGCGGACAGAGGGGCAGCGCACAGACGGGCCGGGCGAGGGTGGATGGGCCGGCTGAGCTGAGCAAGCGCCCGCTCCCCACCTTCCTCCATCCTACCCCCCACCCCCACCCCAGGTGCAGCGCTGGACCGAGATCAAGGACGGGACTTTCGCTGCCAAAATCTAACGGCCCGAGGGCGGCTTCTCCGAGGGATCAGTATCAGTGTCATCACCCCCAATTCTCTCATCTTCCGGGCCCCACCACCCCAAACCCTGCCCCATCTTTAAGCTACAAATAAAGCTATGTTATTGCTGATATTTCTTCTTAATGTCTGGTCAGTGAGGTGCGCACGGGGGCGTCGGGAGATCCTCCCTGTCTGTGCCCTGTAGCCAACACTACTGGTTCTAATCATGGGAGGGGTGAGGGAGGACTGGGCTCCATCAGGGCTGGTATGGAGGGAGGACAGTCAGGGTAGGAGCAAGCTGAGCCCCCCGCTCCCACCCCCTTCCCACCTTCCCCCCTCCAGCAGGCAGCAGTCTCTTCTCAGCAGGGTCTCCCTTGGCTCTTTGAGTCCCAACACTTGCCCACCAGGACAGTTCCAGGGTCCTCCTGCCTCTCAGTCCCCACACCTACCTGTCACCCAAGTCCTCCCTCCACCTCCACCTTCAGGATCCTCTTCCCCTCCTGGACCACCTCCCCAGCTGGCTCCTGGACTTCCTGCCCCACCCCTTCCATCCCATCTCAAGTTCCAAGGAGTCTTTTATATACCACCCAGCGCTGACCCCATCACTCCCTCCCCTGCTCCCCACCCTTCCCGGCTTGCCACCACTCCCTCACTCCCCTGTCCCCTTTGACTCCACATCCCTCCCAGTACATCCCCAACCCCATCACATGAGCCCCTCCCAACAGGGTGCTCTGCGCTGGTCCCCTAGGTCTTTGGAGCGCCCTGTCCACAGCCAGGAGCAGCCTTTTCTCCTCTGATCAAACACACGTCACTTCAGTCTCTCCTGCCAGCCCGTTCCTGACTGCGAGCTCCTCCAGGACGCTCAGAGCTCCAGGATAAATTCTTCTTCGCTCCCGCCCCACTCGGGCTCTGGGCCTGCCCTCAGCCAAGCTCAGGGACCACAATGCTGAGATTCATCCTGATTCCAGATGCCCCTTAAAATGTCACCTCTCCAACCACCTCCCTCCCCCCCTCCCCCCTCCCCCCCACCCCGAGCCAGGCTGAGGAGTGACCCTTGACAGAGCTCAGAGCCTGGGGCTTCTAGCCTGACCTAGATGGGCATGAGTCCTGGGCATCAGGGTGGCGGTGGATTTGACTTTCTGCCTGAAGCTGTCAGTCTCCTGGGGCAGCCTGGACCCCCAGACTCTGCCTGAAGTGATCTCATGAGGTCTCCATTCAACCCCAGGGTTCAAAGGTGGCTATTACTAATCATATGACAACTTACTGGGTGGCCCTGGACAAACCTCCTGACCTGCGTCACCTCAGTTTCCCCAGCTGTCAACAGAGATGGTGCAAAATCCCATTCTCAGGTGGGGTGGAATGATGGGGGGGCTGGGTAAGCTCAGGGGAGAACTGGCTCCATCCACTCCCCTCACCCCCTCTATGCTGCCCTCATCCCCCTACCCAGGGCACACCCCAGATGTGCCATCTCCCAGGATGGCCCCACCCGAAACCTTGGCCCCGGGCCCCCTCTCTCAGACCACAACCTGAGAGGCAGAGGGGCAAATGAGGGCATGGGGTGTGGACTCAGACAGACAGGCTGGAAGCTACAGGAGGGGGTGAGTCGTTCATGTGACCTCCCCCGACCTGCAGACCTCTGGCCTGCACAGAGGTGGCGCTGCTGCAGGAAAGAAGGAACGCCGCGATGCCACGCAGACCAGGCAGCTCTGAGTCACCGAATGAGTGGGGCTGGCGGCTGTCTGAGCACTTGGTGGGGTCATCCAGGTAGCATCCAAGCACAAGGCCTGACACCTGTGCGGCCACAGCCAGCCTCCCGACCTCACCAGAGCGCCAGTGCTGGCAGTGTGTTCTCGCCCTGCGGGCCAGCAGCCCCTCCCAGTTCCCCCTTCTTTCCCTCTGGGGCCAGGATCCCTGCCACCATCCCTTGACCACTCCTGGGACATTCTTACACTCCTGGCTTCCCTTCTGGCCACCACTGCCCTATGGATGCCTGAACCCAGGGCAGGGCCAGACCCACTTCACTTCCAGCTGGCTGGGCCAACACTCTCAGGCCCCAAACTCTGGCTCTGAACACCTCTTCCTAGGCTCCTGGGTCATCTTCGCCCGCCCAGATCCTGAAACCCCCAATGTCAAGCTCACTGTCCCGAAACAGCCTCCCGGGACAAAGGAAACTGACTTCCCCATCCCTCCTCACAACCTGCATCCCTGCTCTCCTCCTCCTCTCCTTGCTACCCCCTCCCAGTCCCAGCCCATCAACCGCACACTTACCCTCTTCCCCTCCCTCTGCAGCTCCTTCCTCCCAGTCTACTGAAAGGGTCAGGTGCTTCCCGGTCAAAATCACAAAACCACTCGGTGCCCTTCACCCGTTGCTCCATGAACCCTCCAGGCACTGCTCTGGCCCTTGTCTCCACCCACTCCCCCATCCCACGGAAGCCACTGCTGAAACAAGCCCTGAGTCTCCAGTGGGCACGGCCTCAGCCTCCCCTCTGGTGTCTGCCTCTTTCCCATCCCAAGGATCTCAGAGCCTGGTTGAGCTCTGAGAATGGGTTCAAGTCCTGGCCCTGAAGCTTGCCAGCCTTGTGGCCCCAGACAAACTTCCTAAGCCCTCTGCACTGTGGCCTTCTCACCTAAAATACAGTGATAACGACACCTAGACTTCACAGGGCCGTGGGGAGGGTGATGCTGTGTCACAAGCCAGGACAGCGTCCAGTGCAGCCGTCCTCAGGGTGTGTGGGTTCTCTATGTAACTAATTTGAGGCACTCAGAGTCCTCATGTTGGCCTGATTCTGGTGCCCAATATCATGTTGGAGGTGGGGGTGACTGATCGTCAGCTGCCCTCCTGGATCAGCAACCCCAGGATGACCAACACCATCAACAGGGCCCTGGAGCTCCTGCAGGCATCTGGTCAGCCCCATGCACAGGGTAAAAGCATCAGAGAGCTCCCCCAAGGGGAGAAATGGGATCCAGGATTGGGATGTCCTGCCTGGCTCCCTGCTGTCCCAGTAACCCAAGGAGGGGAACTTAGAAAGCTTTGGGGAAGGCACTGCAGAGTGCGGGGCTTCCTGAGACTCTGGCCTGTAATTATTTCCTGTTTCTTTCAACTCCCTCCTCCTCCTCCCCCAGCCAGATTCCCCGTTTCCTTGCTCTGGCCCCCAAGTGTATGACGGGGTTCTCAGCTTGACCTTGACCCTTCGACCCTCCCCCTGGGGTTCCCAAGCCCCAGCTCCACCCAAACATCCCAGGGCCCGCCAGCTCACTGGACCCAACACACACTCCTCTCACTTCCCTATCGTGGTTGGGGCTCCATCTACCTGGTGGTTGAGGCAGAAACCTGGCAGCAAGGCGGGCTCTGTCCACGTACCAGCTGTGCGGCCTCAGGCAGACGTGCCTGCCCTCCGACTACCTGCAAAGGCAGGGGGGTGATCTTGGTGGCACTGCTGTGAAGGCTGATGCCAGATGCACAGAACCTGTGACCAGTGTCAGCTGTAGTTACTGTCCTGGAGGTCTTCCTTCCCTGTCATCCTGTCACTCTAGCCCAGTGGTTCCCACTGGGGGCTGGCTTTGACCTCTAGGGGTACATTTGGCAATGATCACAGGTATTTCTGTCACCACTAAGGGGATGCTACTGGCAACTCGTGGGTGGAGGCCTGAGAGGCCACTCCTCGTCCTGTGACACAGGATTAGCAGCTCAAGACAGCAGCAGTGTTGAGAGTGAGAGACCCCGATCACTGGTTCTTAATCTTCGTGTTTTGGGTTCCAGACACTTTTGAGAGTTGGATGAAGGCTCTAAACCCTCTGCGCCAAGAACACGCCTGTGAATACGCAGTTACTACATTTGAAATGGGATTCCAGGAGGTTCTTGGAACCTCCAATGTCCATCCAGGCTAAGCCTCCTTACTCTGCTGTCATATTTGCCGAGAAGCCATGAATTTCTGCTTGTCTAGAGGGACAAGTTCTTTAGCGACTGTGTCAACCATCTCTCTTCATTCTCTTCGTTACCACTTGCTGACTGGGAGGCCCTCTCCCTCATTTTTAACCTGAGGGAGAAAACTAGGAGGGTTCAGTAGGATTTGCATGGAAGAAAGACACATTTTCTCATTCTGAAAGGGATGAAGCAGGCTATACATAAATAATATGAATTTTAAAGTAAAAAAAAAAAAAGTTACCTGCTTTGAACTGTCCCCATCCCCACCCCCAGGTCCACTGTGGAAGTGCCCCTTCCTGGGCCATCTCCTTGGCCCACCCAAGTCTTCCTGCAGCCTCTCCATGTGTGTTCACTCCCTCTTCTCAGCACCCCCATGTCCCTCATGCATATGGCCTGGCCTCATCAGCCTCCAGGGTAAACTTTTCCAAGGCCGGTCGACATGGAGGAGATAAACTGGGGCCTGCAGCCCACACACGACCCTCAGACGTTCCTGGCTTGTCCTCATGAAATGGCTGTAAGGCCTCAATGAACAAAAAAAACATATCCACAAGACGCTTTGCAGCGGGTGCCTAGTACCAGGAAGCACTCACTGATTTTAAGCTGTTAGTATTTCCTTCTGTAGAATGGGGGTTGAGGTGAGAATTAAGAGACGATGGGGGGGAGTTCCCTGGTGGCCTAGTAGTTAGGATTCTGGGCTTTCACTGCTGTGGCCCGGGTTGAATCCCTGGTTGGAGAACTGAGAACTGAACTGGATCAGAAGAAACAAGAAGATTCACTGTCCTGGCCTCACAGAGCCAGGCCAACCGAGATGACACACGTGAGATCTGGGAGGGGCTCTGACTTCAGACAAGGGTGATCTGGCCCCAGGTGACCCGGGACAAGTCACTCTAATTGCTGGACCTCACTAATCTCATCTGAAAAATGGGGAGACTCCCCACCTGGGTGAGAAGATGGGACTGAAAGCGTTCTTTATGAGCACAGTTTGCGCCTCTGTTCTCGGCCATCCTCAGAGCCCACTGCCCTTCCACCCTTCCAAAGCTTTCAGCGCCCAAAGTCTGGGCTGCTTCCTCCCGGTCTGGTCTCCCCAGCAAGGCGGAGGGTCTCACCCTCCCAACGGACATCACTTCAAAATGTAAATCAAGATGAAATGCTTCCCAGGGCACTGCTTATGACAAGGTTTTAATAAAATAAAATAGAAAGTTCAAGTGCTTCCAATCCCCCAACATACCCCATTCTGGCGTGGGGGAGGGGAGGGAGCCCCCACAGCCCAGTAGCACCAGGGATAGCACCATGAGAAAGATGAGGTCGCACCGGCCTCCCTGAGACCCACGGGGGTGGTGGGGACATGCCCCTGGCCGCCCCCTCGTCGCCCCCCACCTCAGACACAGAG